CTGGAGTTTTTGCTCAGCAGACATGTCAGTACAAATTTACCACCGAAATAATGTACGCAAATTGACCTAGCCATTAGTGGCATGCATCTGGCTACAGATTGTCACTTGTCACAGAGCCAAAGGGAAGTACACCATAGATTAAATTTTTGATAATTTTTGGTAAAAATTTAAACTTTCATCCTTTTCACTAAATCGAAAAATACAAACCTCTTCAACCGTTTCCCACATATCGGACTCATTTTCGTTTGTTATTACCAAACTCGTCTCATCGATTATCAGCGTACCATCCTCCGCTAGTTTCACCTATCAAAAAGCAGCTAGTTGAAAAAAAAAAAAAAAAAATTGAAAATCAATGCAAAACAATATGTTTGATAACTCAGACTGATAAATGGTCCCCTTCAGTGTTAAAAAGACAGGAAAGGCAGTCAGTACGGAGGAGAGGTCCGGCTGTGGGGCTACATGGAATTATTTGGATAAGAGAAGCACAAAACGGAAAAACTGTAAAAGTTGCATCAATGGTGAAAAGAAACATGATGAGGAAATACTGTGGAAGTATAAGCATCTAAAGCCAATTAAATTTACAAAACGTAAATCTTTATTTCACATCGTGATGTAAAAAACAGTGGCCAAGGACGAAATCCAGCAGTTCTAAGCATGCCGAGGACGCTGTATACCGTATTTTGTCCATCTAAGATTGGATCAGTACAAACTACTGCCGGATTAAAACTGAACGGGTGAAAATGCAGTAAAATGTATGCACTATAGGGAAGCAAAAGAAAAGATTTACGATATGAGGAAAATCGTGATAAGGAAAATCGTGATATGAGGAAAATTGTGATCCACAGGAACTGAGATATAGAAACGACAAGTAATAGCCCTTAGAAGGCCGAATCAGAAGTGGACGGTCCAAAGTGGGGCGGTCGAAGTGGGCTAAAGTGATAAAAAATTCTTTATAGAACCCGATTTTATGCGCGTTTCTCACGAGATTGATAGAACGATTTTGACTTCACAAACATCTCTTGAAAATCTATACAAAATAACAGGCATATGCGAAAAAATGAAAAAAAATAGTAGAATCTCTATTCAAGATACGATTTAAGTCGTGTGTAGGAAGAAATACTCTGTTTCATCCCTTAGCTGTAGACACAGACCGAACTATGCATGCTGGTCGGAGCGGGAATCATCAGTACAGCTTCCTACAAACACATCGCGTAATACGAGCCCAATGATTTGCTTGGCAAAGGAAAAGATAATGCTAGCAATGTTGGGTTTACCATCAGCAATTATCTTTTGTCAGGCTGGCTCGTCTAGATCCACATTCCCAAGCGGGAATCAATAAAAACTAATCGGGATTGTTCAAATTTATTTGACTTAATGGGTCGAAACGTCTTACCTCATACTTCTTTTCTCATACTGTTCTTTCATGCTGTAATCTATTGGGCCTTCGCCATCTAGGCCTGCAGAGTCAACCTGGTTGCTACAAAATCGAGTTATGCTCCCACACCATGATCGGTGGCCTGTGCCGCTGTATAAGGCTATTTAAATACATCCCAGGAGTATAACCAGCAATTTCCAGTACTCAAGCCAACTGTTCTTGGCAATCTTGGCAAAAAAAAAATTACCTGTGGAGCATTAACAGCAGATTTCGATGTTTTCTTCGGTGAACTTCCACCATCTTTCAACTGAGTAATATCCGAAACCGTTTCACTTTCCGTCCTTAGCTTTTGCACACCTTCCAGAAACCTCTTAAACAAAACGGCTTTGTATCGCATTATACTGCCATGATTCTCAAACAAGTTACGAAAAGAAAAAAAAAAAAAAAAACGAAAACCGAACCTGATTATCTTTGACTTTGAAAAAATGAAGCATAATATCTAGGATTCGCCATTTTAAGCTATTTTTTGCGGAAGATAAAGTTAAACGAAAGAAAAAAAAAAACTTTTTTCCTACTATATTTTTTTGTACTTTTGTACTACTGCGGCTAATTTTACATTATTTCATTTAAGTTACAAAAAAATTTCCCCCTTTTCAATGAGGTACCTCATTATTCGATCTGGGAGAAGCAATTCCGCGATGAAGTGACATTTGCGAAAGCCTTGCCAAGTGTATCTACTGGGAGAATTGCTGAGCCGATAATCCCTCTAGGAGATGAAATAGTAGGACTTAAATCTTAAGTTTCATATGCCGGAGAACAGTTTACGATGTAGTTAGTTTGTGTTTCATCCCTTAGCTGTAAACACAGATCGAGCAATGCATGCGGCTAGGAGCCGAAATCATCACTACAGACAACACTGTAAGGATCGCCAGCAGGCTTTCTACTGGCAATGCAGCAGCATTGGTTAGAGTAACTGGAAAAGTTGTTAGTTTAGAGGATCAGGCTATAACTGAAGCTAATTAGTACTTGTAA